AAATTAAATGATGGCGTCCTCTGGGGTAAAGCACTCCGGACGTAAACTAGTCCCCCATTCGGATGTCCGGGCGGGGACTACCTCGGGGGATGTCATCAATAAGTGCAATAGGGATAGGTGCAATGTTTCACGAGTCGGAGCGTGGAATGTTAGAATAATGAGGCAAGTAGGAAAATTAGACAATTTAAAAATAGAGATGGATAGATTAGAATTAGATGTAGTAGGTATTAGTGAAGCTGGAGACTTCTGGAGTGGGGACTTCTGACAATACATACAGGATCGGTAGAAGGTAATTCGGGGGTAGGAATTGTAATGCGTAGGAAAGTAGCGCAGAGTGTAGAAAGTAATTTACAAAAAAGCCATAGAATAGTTACAGTTAAATTAAACTCAAAGCCGGTAAGAACGGTATTAGTGCAGGTCTACATGCCTACATTATCATACAGTGATGAAGACGTAGAAGCAGTTTATGCAGATACAAGACGTGTTAAGTTTAGTGAAAGGACATAACAACCTAATAGTTTTAGGAGATTTCAACGCAGTAATAGGAGAAGGTCAAGTGGGTGCAATAGCAGGTTCTTTTGGATTAGGCAATAGAAATGATAGGGGAGACAGAATGATGATAGAATTTTGCGATAAACATAAGTTAACCGTCGCGAATACTTTATTCAACCATCACGTTAGGAGGCGCTATACGTGAAAGATGACAGGTGATTTAGGGAGATATCAGTTAGATTACATACTTGTCAGACAATGATTTAAAAATCAAGGAAGGACTGTAGGAGTTATCCAGAAGCAGATATAGATAGCGATCATAACTTAGTAGTTTTTAGGAAGGGAGACAGGGATGCGCACTGTCACCACTACTTTTCAAACTATACATAGAAGACGCCATCAACATCATTAAAGACAGTACAACTGTAGGGATAGACGTGCAAGGGCAAAAGATTAGTATGCTTAGATTTGCAGATGATGCAGCAGTATTAGCATCTAGCAAGGAGGTCTTAGAAATAGCTTTAAATAAAATTTAAGCGGTATTGACAGATTAGTACTGTTTGAAAATAAATAAAATTAAAACTAAAATACTGGTATGCAAGGGAGAAAAAGTAGGGAAGGAGCGAATATAAAGATAGGAGACGAAAAATTAGAAGAAGTGGCTGATTTTAGATACCTACGAAGTCAGGTAAGTCAGGATTGAAGGAGTAGGAGGAATATGAAGCAGAGGATAGCACAGGGTCGTGTCGCCTTTAATAAAAAGAAGTCACTTCTGTATTCGCGAATGGTTAATCTAGAAATTCGAAAAATGTAAGGGTGCGAAACATGGACAGTGGGCGCGGCGGAATAGAAGGTTAGTAGCGTTTAAAATGTGGTGTTATAGGCAGAGGATATCGTGGGTAGAAAAGGTTAGAAATAAAGAGGTATTGGAAAGAATAGGAGAACAGAGGACTCTATGGAAGACAATAAAAAATAGGCGAGATAGGTTGGTAAAACAACTTCTCAGGCATGGTCTAATCAGAGACATATTAGAGGCAGAAACAGGAGTTAAGAGGTGTAGAGGTAGACCTAGATAAGATTACTCTTCGCAAATAGTTAAAGATGTGGGCTGTTCTAGTTTTAGGGAAATGCGAAGTGTAGGAAAGAGTGGAGGTACGTGTCCAACCAGTCTAAGGGCCGACGACCTTATGATGATGATGATGATAGATGATATAGTATATTCAAATATACATATATAAATTCGAACTTTAAAAAAACTGTTATTTTCGTATACTGAAAACAAATGTGGCTGCTAATGTAATCAGTACATTGACAGATATGTCAGACAGTTATCAGGTCGCTTGACATTGAAATCAGGATAAGAATCATTTAAGTACACTATTTAATTTATCACACATATTAAAAGCATCTCCATTTGCTCTGCAAAATTTATTGGATTGTTAAACATTAAATTGAAAAACATTAAAAAGGTTATAGTTTCAGATTGAACACTGGGACACTGCTTAAAATATTTTATTACTTCCGAACACCTACCCAAAGTGGGAATCGACATTAAAGGGCAATGTTCTAACATTTGAAGATTTATCTAAGTTTTTAAAAGAGGGGTGCAAGGGGTTAGAAGCGGTGGAACTCAGTAAAGATGCTATTAGAAATTAATATAGTAGACCTAATTTATTAGTGTGTTTTATTCATTTTTGAATTAATTTTAGCCAGTACAGATAACCTAACTTATCCTAACTTAATCTCAACTTAATGAAGAAATAATGTAGCTATTGTCATTCCCTTGCAGGGAATCAAACCGGGGCCCCTGGTTTTACGCACCAGTACATTATCACAAAAAGAAAATTCAAAATTCCGTCCCGCGTGAGTAAATTTGCCTGTAAACAACACTATGAAAAAAAATAGTTTATGCAGGACTTATTTCAAAACGAGGACACAAATCCACTCGCGGCTGAAAATCAATTTCAAGTGAGACTTGCACTCGCTGCAAACGATAAGGATGTTTGTTGATTAAGAAGTCTGAAAATCAATAAATTAAATAGTGTAGGGTTACTTACTAATGATTAATTAAATATAAATTCTTCTCAACTTTTAACTATTTAATAGTATGTATAGTTTATCTACCCACTCCTATAAATTAATAAATAAGTGGTTTTAATTTTATGTTTACCATAGAAATGATGGTTAATTACTGATCTTCTTCTAAGTATACTTCATTTACTTTTTCTACCTATGTGCTCCTTGCAATGTCTTGGATGCGCGCAGGCAAAATCATAGGTAAGGAGAAAAAAGCTCTCGACTCTTGTTCATTCAACATACTTTTTCATACAGTACCTGATAAAAGTTTTGTTCAATCATGAATAGTAGTGCGAGTCGAAAACAAGCGTTAAAGCCTTTAATATGTCTTCAAATATAAATAAACATCTCGGTGATATTTTCAGTAGTAATTGGTACCAATAACAGCACATTTGAGCAATGCAATTGTAGTGTATAAAATGGCCAATTTTTCTGTGCAGTACTGTACGGATTATATGGTCCTCACCGGTTAAGAGTTTGGCCGAGAGTTGTCTCCTTCATTTTCTGACCTAGTGCTGTTCTTTTCTACTTTGCGCCGCAACAGAAGGTAAACGAAGTATAGTAAGTATCTGAAAAATCATCACAATTTTCAGATTTTCCAAGGCTTTAATTGTGTTAATTTTTTAAATCTGCTTTTTCTCATAATTAACACTTTCCTGAAATTCATGAAGGGGTGCGTCTCATACTTCTTTATCAACTTAAAATTTTAACTCATTCCATTAAGTATATTTCGGTGGTAGATATATCCTGGTTCTTGTCTACTCTAACTGAATTTTCGGGAAATTAAGGTTTATTGCTTACTTACATTTATTTTCGAAAAATTCCTTCAGTTCCTGGATGTAAACTATATATATATTTTTAATACTTGCTCGACACGTTTATGAAGTAGGTACTACACGATTAAATTGATAGGAATCTTATCAACGTATTCTGAAGGAGTGGTGTTATTGTAATTTAAATCTATTATATAATTAGCATTGCCAGTTGTAAGCAACTCACCACACAGCAAAAGCCTTGTAGTGGGTTGTCTAGTAACAATAAGAAGAGCATGACAGCCATGAAGTGTACGATATAGTACTGAACGACTAATTAATTACTAATATTGATGTTAATTAAAGAGTAAATAGCTAATAAATCAGTTCTTAGTGCAAAAAATGTTTGATTATGTGACGGTTCTATATTTTGAGAAAATTTATTACTTTTGTAGCGAGCACGAACGCGTTTGTGTGCGATCGGGTATAAATGTGTGTGAGAGGCTTATCGATTCGCCGACTAGCCGCGGGCGCCTTTCTTCATGTGCACCGTATTTATAAATGTGTGTGTCGTACCTGCGTTCTGGGAAAGAAATTAAAAGTTCAAAGAAAAAGAAACTTTTCCGGACGGCTCGAGAATGTTCCAGAAAGTAAACAAAAGAGTATTTAAAGGAAGAGACGATCGCCGAAAGGAGTAGTAATATATTGACCGTTGCAGAAGTGAATCCAGAAATAAATTGATAGAAGTGAAATAAATAGCGCAGTGAATAGTGATATATCCACAGTAGTATAAATAAATAGAATAATTCATAACCTAAGTTTAGTAATAATTTAATTCAATAGTAATTAGTGTAAATAAATAGTTTTCGCCTTAGAAGTTAAATTTTGTTAAACTCACGAACATCACACTATTATAGTTAAATTGTGCGAATTTTTCCTGATCTAAGTATAAACGTGAAAAGTAGTTACCTTTCAATTTGATGCTTGAGCGTGAGCAATAGAAATTTCGATATTTTTGGGTAAGTATATTATTGTGTTAGTTTGTTTGGCTTATTTTGTTTACAAACTCAGATATAATATCGATCAGTGTTATAGATAACGACAGCGATTGATTAAGTTAAGGCGTGAAATCGACTACATAAAGCTAATTTTTTTATCCCTGGGAAACAATATTTTTTCTGGATAAAAAGTATCTTATGTGCTTTTCTGTAGCCCTGGCAATGTGTGTACAAAATTTCTTGGTGATCGGTGGAATAGTAAAGGGTGAAAAGCAAACAAACAAAAAACTCACATTCGTATTTATATTAGATAGGACTATTATCTTCCAGCCTTCTCAGTTTTCGCTGGTTAACTTTGAGCAACTGAAGACGGACTGATGACGAAGAACCTCACTCTCATCTTTTGGGATACGTTACGGAAACCAATTCGCTATTATTATTTTTTTTTGTATAGCTATAAGTACTTCTTACCCTGAAATATAATCGAAGATTATTAATAACTCCGTTTTAACCTATCGTATTATTTGGAAAAGGGGATACTATGGAAGTGTTAAGAAATCTGCGTACTATTCTGCATATACATATCTAGGACTCTTGTAGACTTATGTACGTAAGTTGTACCTAAGCACTTTCAACTCGGCTAGACTAGCATGTAATGTGCTACGTTTATTGATGAAATAATTATTATCAGAATAATTCGAACTGTTCTGATTCCACATTTCTGCTTTTTTATCGGCTAAAGGATTATATTTTTAAATTTTGTCAATTTGTTTTTACTTAAATTTTTCGATGTTTGAGCGAGATTAAGCATGAAGTACAGGTGAGTATGTTATTTATCTAGTTAATTCTTTTATATTATAAATATATAATACATTTGTATGTATGTATTTGTAGATATACCTATACAGACAAAGATACTTTTAAGTGCAATAATCGTTTATTGCAATATTTACATCAGTACTTAAGAACGTTTAAGCAATAACAGCATCGGTGTTTGCTTCAATCCAATCTAAAAATGATGTTACCCTCGAAAAGCCAGATGGATCCCCAGCGTCACAATCATTATAACCTTTAAATGATGTTACCCCAACCTGCAAACGATATAAAAAAGTATAGCAATATTGTTGTATGTCTATAGTTTTATTAGATTATTAGTCATGTGGGTAGAATCAGTTGTTTGCTGAAACACAGAACCTTTTTGGCAAACAGAAAAAAAAAACAAATCGGAATCTACAAGCATAAGTGACAATGAGATGTGTACTATGGAACAGATCTTTCGTTTTGTGACGTGGCAGATGTGACTGTACATTCTCAAGCATTTACGAACATTCTTATGAACGATGTATTAATGAGGGTGTGATTTATTCAATAAAAAAGAAAGATTAATGTGAAATTAAGTTAATTTGTAACCCATTACGGACTACGTCAACAGTTGCTGCATCCTTATCATTTGCAGCGAGTGCAAGCCATGCATAAACTGATTTTCGGCCGCGAGTGGATTTGTGTCCGTTGTTTCGAAAGAAAAGTAGAGTATAGCCTAATTTTTTCCATAGGGTATTGTTTACAAACAAATTTGCTTCACGGGGAACGGAATTCTGAATTATAATAGTCAGTATAGGAGCGATGCAAATTCGCATTACGTACATCCTTCGCGGTTTCATTAATGTTTTTCGGTAAATGTGTAGTGCAAAATTTTTGGAGACATACGATATTTGATTTTATTTATAAGTTTACTTACAATTACCAACAAAAATGTTAAGCACCTTAGCAATACCTTTATTGTGGTGTTGAAATTTACCATAATAAATTCCAGGTTATGTTCATTTACCGATTAATTTTTACGTAACTCACGTTTTTTCTTTCTTTTGTGTTTCGTACATTTACTTCGTGTTGCCTGTAACGTAATTTATTTAATCTAAACATTAAATGTAGTGTGTACTAAATAGTTTGTTTATCTTAAACGTTCGATAAGTCGGCAATGTTTATAATCTCTGTCCAGGTAAGCGACCGATTTTTCATCATACTGCGCTATTCAACAGATACCTATGTTGCTAATTCACGTACAGGATCGGCTTCAGATTGTTTATATTTAATTCAATCTTATAAATATCTGGCGTAAACCCAAAAAGAAACGAAGACTTCAAAAAATTCGCGCTAATTTCACAACTCACGATCTAAATAAGATGTTTTCTATCTACCAGGTAACAAATTCACATGCATTTAAAATATAAGCATATAATAACAAGCAGCTCAAAACCTGTTTCTAAACAAGAACTACCCACAAGAAATAAATGGCAAAACTAATTCAACAAATACTAGACCAGGACATAATCAAACAATACCTTTCGGACTTTTATCGTATTACTTATCAAAATTAGCAGGTTATCAGAATTTGGTGTATTTAGATGACATAACAATATTGACAATAAGCTAGCAGTAAATAATAATAGATTAAGGGAAGTGCTTAAGTAACCTAAACAACAAAAAAGTCCAGTCGGATAAATGTAAATTTTTTAAAAAAGAAGTGGTTTATCATGACTACATCATTTCTTACAGAATTTTTTTTAATTTTAATTTTGGTTTTGATGGAAATAAAATATACCTATATTAATTTAATATTTTTAAACTGATTTATATTCACCAATTTTCTATTGGCCACAAGTGGTCCGCCTGAATCTCCAAAGCACACCCCTTTTTTGCCCGTTCCTGCAGTACAAATAACTGAATCTGGAAGATCCTGGAACGTCTCATTACACACTTCGTTTTTTATAATACGAACATTGATGTATCGCAATACTTCTTTGCCATCGGTGGCAGGATCATTATCGTCTCCCCAGCCACTTGTTATTGCCTCACGTCCCACCAAATTATTCGAAACGTCAGCTCTACTGGGCAGTGCGATCAGTTGAACGTATTCTGGAGAAATTGAATTATGTTTGGTAAAAGACGAAATCACTGGATTGATAGGTAGGCACATTAATAGGAATCAGAGTAGATCCAAGAAATTACGAAAAGTGCGAAAATTAAATTTTTGAAACGGCCCTTTTACAATGACATTCATAATTTAATATTCTTAAGCTTTCCTAAACGAAGCGAGCTACGGCTGAATACATAGTGATCCGTAAAATGTAGCATTGTACTAACAGATGGCGTTTACCACGCCGTTTGTAGAATTTCATAAAACGCGCTGTTATGACAGCAGGTAAAAGTTGGTCTGTGTTGTCGAAACTGTCTGCGACGCGCTGATGAAATCCAACAGGATCGAAATGGCGATCCGCGTCTGGCAGTTTAGAAAGAATACTGACCACTCCGAATTTTTTTATTCGAACATATGAGACAAATAGAATAGAAAGCTAGAAGAAGTCTAAATAAAGTCGATCAACGTTGACCACGAAATGGTTTAGCTTTTGTTTTAAGTTAAAAGATTGGTAATTTCTTGGTAGATATAACTAACATTTAAGATAAAGTAAATTAGTAATAGAGATAGTTACGATTGATTTTTGCTGGTGTTGGAAGATAGACTACGCCTAAGTCATTATCTAGTGAATCATTATTAAACTGTTCATGGAATTTGAACGTGGATGTGTTAATCCTTTGCTGGGTAAGTTCAATTTCACGGTACTTATGTGCTCCCAGAACTACTTCTAACAACAACTGCCTGATTAAAAGAACAAAATGCAATAAATTATGACGACAACCATTAAAAGCCAATATCTTACCTATCATCTAAGCAGTGGGCAGCTGTTAACACGTATCTCTTGGTGATGAGAGATCCGCCACATAAACCCGTCCATTCATCGTAAAATATTCTCAAAGCAGCCTAAAATAATAAAAACACCGTGGATAAACATCTGCTTGCAAAATTAACCATGCCTACGTTCATCGTTTACCCAAGCCTGACGAAATTGTAATACTTCGCGGGTGTTGTCTTTTCCTACGGCAAACTTACGATCCTAAGCAGTCAATTAAAGGTATCCTTCGATACGTATATTGGAAATTAAAAAAAATCAGTCAAATGTTAATAAAAATAAATTAAGGAAGAAAGCAACAGCACGCAGACGGACTCATAGTTAGTGGAAAGTACAGCCATCTTGCACGTTTACTGAAAACGACTATTAGTACAGTCATTTAGTTCGAAAAATAGTGGTTGCCTGGAAAGTTTTCCGGGAGTTTTGAAAATTGGTAATTTTATAGATTCTGATGTGCTCTTTCCGAATTTCGTATTTTTGCCACCTCGTATTTTTGCCGCTCGCGCCGCCGTATTGGGAAAATGGCGCCAAAAAGCAGTTTTTTGACAATATCTCCTTTCCGACTCATTTTACGATTAAAACAGTTATATACAAAATGAAACTAGGGACAATCGCCTTCAATTTTTATATCTACTTTTTTTCCATAAAGTCAATAGTTTTGGCGTATGAGCGCCGCATAGTGTACTCCAACGAGTGTTTTGGTAGAGCTGAATAGAAATATTTAGTCTGAGTCATCACCAAATAAAAACATTATATTGTAGATCAAAAATTTACCGCGAATTAGACCGCGTGGAACTTTCACATCTTGTCGATTTTAACTCAGTCTATAACTTGGACGTAACTAGTTTGTGAAGTGTCACCTACAGAACCGCTACAGTAATTTTGGAACCGATTTAATAGTTTCGATTATTTATCGCTTAAACCAAACCCATAAATTTTTCTAGATTGTTATATCTACAGTATAGACTAACACCCAAAAATTTTGATCAAACATTAAGTATTCCAAATATTTAAATACTTACTTGATATGGTAAAGAGTTTGGTACAGCTTCATTCCCTCCTACGATTCTTGCATCCTCAGAGGATACAAACTGATTGAGTCCTCTATGAGCTGCTTTGCGAGTAGGTAAAATTTTAAATCCATCCTTAGTTATGTGAGCCTGTCAAGAACACAAAAACTTTATTCAGAATTGATCTAGACCTCCAAATTAATATCACTGCGTTACCGTAACTAAGGAAAATGTGATAAAAATTAAAGTCGTTATCTTCATCTCTGCGCGTGACACAGATATTGTACTAATTTTTGTGAAACTCATTTTATATAGTTATGTTCAGAGTACTTTTATTGATAAAATTCTTGCTACGCTTTTTTTTCAAGACTCATCAATTTGATAAACGATACATTTTCAAATCTTTAAGATAGATATGTTAATGTTGTTAAAAATAATCAAAATGGTATTGTAAGAAATATTATAGTTACTATAATCAACTAAAAGGATTTATCCTATACTATTTAAGCGTATATATAAGGATTCTTAGAAGTATATAGTAGAAATTTGTTTAATTTCTTTAATATCCTTGAACAATAGCAGTTCCGTTCTCTGATGTGTGGAATTTTAAGATTTGATTGCTACTGAAGCTCAGGTTTTTGTTAATTCATATTTTCTAAGGATATAGTAGTGTAACGTATACATGCAGGTATATCAATTCTTACTTCAACAAAACTGAAATTATTTTCGTATACTGCTGACAAATGAGGCTGCTAATTTAATAAACACACTCACAGTTATATTAAAAAGTTATGAGGTGGTATGCTATTAAAATCAGAATATGGAAGCATAAAATCAGGATAGGAAAGAGTGGAGGTGCGTGTCCAAACAGTCTTAGAACTGACGACCTTATGATCATGATGATTAAAAACATCTCTTCTAATCTGGAGAATCTGCTGGATTGTATAACCTTAAATTTAAAGATATTAAAAAGTTTACAGGTTCCGACTGAACAATGGGACGCTGTCATAGAACATTTTATGATTTTGTAGCGTGCGTGACGCTAACAGATAAAGATGCAGACTCCAACCTATTTGTAAGTCTGGAGCTGGATGATGAAGTAACTGTGGCTATTTGCAAGTCCAATAGTCAGACGAAGACGAGTCTGTTTGCAAGACTGATTTATTTAATTATTTATACGGTATTTATACAAAAATATTTACATGGATTTAATGTATAGTTTTTGTCTAGCAGTTTGTTCCGAGTTGGATGGTTCACCCAGTTTGGTCGATCGACAACGACGATAGAAATGCTGGGTCGCTTGCACACATACTATACGAGGGCGGTTCAGTAAGTACCCGTGTTAGAAATGAAGACACCTTTTTTTTAAAATTTGTTTTTTTATTTTTCAACATAGTCCCCTTTTAGAAAGATACACTTCTCCCAACGACCCTGCCATTTTCTTTTTACCCCTCCAAAAAATAAGATTTGTCGAACTCTCCAAAATCCCCCCTGTCTCGAGTGAGTACGGGGTGTGCGGCAGCAAATTCATAACGTAATTCATGCATTTTGACGGCAAAAACTCCTCAACAACGTTAGCCAAGATTCCTGGTCGTTCCTATCAAAAACGGATCTTTGCCCACGTTTAAATTCGTTGAAGCAATATCTAACTGTGGTCGTAGATGGCGAAATGTTTCCATAAACAATATCCAACTTTGTTTTCATCTCCTCGCATTTTTTCCCATCCAAAAACAAAAAGCGAGTTACCGAACGAAACTGCTCTTTTTCCATCTTAGCGAAAATAACGAAACACGTCTCAGTCGAATGGCTGCCAAATCCAAACTAACCTATCAATCAGTCTAAAATTCGTTTTGGCGTGGTTTGATAGATGGCAGCACACGATGACAACACCAATTTCCCTCAGAAACGTCCCCTGTCTTCAAACACGGGTACTTATTAAACCGCCCTCGTATGTCTACGAACTGTATACCATACGGAGTGTTCACACAGTGATTAGCGATATTGGTCATCCTCCTGTGAACTATTTGGGGAAGTGTACACGACGTCCTGAGCGGGTTGTTATTGTTGATTGTGAGACGTCATTGTTGGAGGCTGCAGCCCCAGGAGAGGAGTGTGAGTGTTGTCCTTCTAACATAATGCATGCTGGTTTAAGTCGGCGAATAGGTACAGTTTTCTCCTTGTTGGACAATTGGACGGTGAACGTGAACGTGAGCGGTGCTATTAAGATGCTTAGATTTTAATTCGTTTGTTTAACAGTATTTCTTTTCACTTTTATAAACCATCATTTTTTATGTTCTACAATTTTCCATAAAACTGAAACAAACATTTTTTCGAGTTCGTTTCTATGTTTGTACTAAGACTAGATTAAAATTTGTGTAATCTGTTGGCTATTTGTTTGAGCGGTGATTTCGATGATTTTTATGAATTTTTTAAAAATAGAAATACAGCTTTTTCCCTAAAATACGGAAATTTCACTCATTATCAGTAGAATATTAAAATGAACAACACACATCATCTGCGACATGAAATAAAATGTGCATGTTTAACATTTGACTTATTCATAAAGCGATGAACGTAAATAAAAAAATTACGAAATAGGTAATATAGAAAATGTTGCCACTTTTCTTTGTTTAAAACAAAACAACGTCAAAACGCCACAATAAAGTAAAACAAAAACCGCAAATACGTAGCTATCTAACTTGGCCAATAGATACATCGTTGCCAACTATTGTATATAGGAAATACTACAAATGGCGCAGTAAACGCCATCTGTAGCACGATGCTACATTTTAGGATTACGTATGCTTCAACAAGGTCCACTTGTCTGGATATCTTCTTACTGAAAACGAAAATGTAGCATCGTGCTACAGATGGCGTTTACTGCGCCATTTGTAGTATTTTCTAAAACGCACTGTTAAGACAGCAGGTACAAGTTGGTCTGTGTTCTGTCGGAGCTGCCTGCGACGCGCTGATGAGATCCAAAAAGATCGAAATCTCGATCCGCGTCTGGCAGTTTCGACAGAATACAGGCCACTTCGAATTATTTTATTCTATTAGATATAGCATGATGAAACGTTTATATGTACATATACTTAGTTTTAACACTTAAACCAATATTGTCAAACCCATACTTGGCTGCCCAATATTGGGCCAAACCTAACAAAAAACGTTAATAAACGTAGGCTTGACACTTGACAATTAATCGAACATAGGACCAGTATAAACGTCAGGAAATGTTATTATACCTAGCCTTGTTATTTGAAGATTGACCAAACTCTGGGCCACTATTGTCAAACCCATACTTGGCTGCCCAGTGTTGGACCAAAAATGGCAAAAAGTTAATAAACCTAGTCTTGGAATTTGTTAATTAACCGAACTTTGGACCAGTAATGGCAGGCCAATGCATGGCTGCCCAAGTTTTGGACCAAATTTCACGGAATATTATTATACCTAGCCTCGTTATTTGAAGATTAACCAAACTTTGGACCAATATTCTCAAACCCATACTTGACTGCCCAGACCAAACTTGGGGAAACGTTAATAAACTTAGCTTTGGCACTTACAAATTGACCGAACTTTGGACCAGTATTGACAAGCCAATGCTTGGCTGCTCGGTATTGGACCAAACTTGACGAAACGGTAATATACCTAGCCTTGGCACTTGAATACTGGCCGAACATTGGACCAGTCTTGACAAACCAATGATTGGCTATCCCAGTATTGGACCAAACTTGGTGAAATGTTAATCTGCCTAGCCTTGGCATTTAAAAATTGACCGAACTTTAGTCCGGTATCGACAAGCCAAAGTTTGGCTGCTCGGTATTGGACTAAACTTGGCGAAACGGTAATGTACCTAGCCTTGACATTTAAAGACTGGCCGAACTATGGACCTGTATTTGACAAACCAATGATTGACTACCCCAGTATTGGACAAAACCTGGTGAAATGTTAATGTGCCTAGCCTTGACATTTGAAGATTGACCCAACTTTGGTCCAATATCGACAAAGCAATGCTTGGTTTCCCACTACTGGTCCAAGCTTGGGCCTATCGTCAAGACTGGCATTTTCCTACATGGGTAACAATAGAGAAAACGGTACAAAAGGAAAGAGTGCGTATATAGGATTTATAGATTTAGAAAAAGCTTTTGACAATGTTAAATGGGACACGATGTTAAATATACTTAAAAATGTAGAAATATGTTACAGAGATAGAAGAGTGATCCTTAGTTTGTCCAAAGAGCAACAGATAGCTATACAGTTGGGGCAGTAACGTAGAGAAGTTAATATTAGGAAGGGACTCAGACTTTTTAATCTATACAACGAAGACGCGATCGACATCATTAAAGCCAGTACAACTGTAGGGATAGATATATAGGGGTAAAAGATTAGTATTTAGATTTGCAGATGATATAGCAATATTAGCATCTAGCAAGGAAGAGTTAGAGATAGCTTTAAATAAAATGGAAGCGGTATTGACAAAACAGTATTGTATGAATATAAAAGTAAAACAAAAATACTGGTATGCACGGGAAGAAAAAGTAGGGAAAGAGCGAATATAAAGATAGGAGACGAAAAATTAGAAGAAGTGACTAATTTTAGGTATCTAGGAAGTCAGATAGGTCAGGATGGAAGGAGTAATAGGGATAAGAAGCAGAGGATAGCGCAGGGTCAAGTCACTTCTATGCTCGCGAACATTTATTTTAGAAATTCGCAAATAGTTTAGAATATGGTTTGTTCTACTTTTAGGGAAATGAGAAGAGTAACTCAGGATAGGAAATAGTGCAAGTGCGTATCCAACCTATCTTAGAACTGACGATCTTTAGATAATGAGGTTATATATAAGGAGTGTATTTTTAAATTTTGTTAGTATGTTTATGTTTAAGATTTTCGGTGTTTGAACAAGATTATGTATGGAATGAAAGTGAGTAAATTAATTAACTGCCTATTCCTTTACATTCTTTTATATTGTATATACATAATACATTTGTATATATGTATTTGTAGATGTACCTGAACAGAAAAAGATACTTTTAGGTGCAATAATCGTTTATTTGCAGTATTTACATCAGTTCTTAGGAACGTTTAAGAAATAACAGCATCAGTGTTTGCTTTGATCCAGTTTAGAAATGATGTTACCCTCGAAAAGCCAGATGGATCCCCAGCTTCGCAACCATTAAAACCTCTAAATGAAGCTACACCAACCTATAACAAATACAACAAAAGGTAGCATCATTGTTGTATGTCTATGGTGTCATTCAGAAACCCAAAAGTATACATTTTGTTCTTATTTTATTAACTAATTGTAAAGTGTTCTTGTGGTAACGGTTTCTTTAGTTTAGTCTTTTAGGGGTGTTGGAAACAGTTTCATTGATAATTATTTTATTTATATTTTTAATCAGGTAATTAATCTATTACAATTTCGTTAACTGTCCTAACAATTGTAAAATATTTTTGAAGTAAAACTTGTTTACGCATGGTAGGGTAAGTTCGTTTCATACGAGTTGCTATGTAACGAAATCATGCAACGGATGTCCCCCTCTACTAGGCCACGTAGTCTAGTTCGTAGTGGGGAGGGCTTGAGCTGTGAGAGAGCTTGAATATGCAACGTTCGTTACAGGCAACTACGGCATGTATAGTGTAAAATATATATATATTAATAGAGTACAAATAATACCATTAAACCAATTCCTTAATCACTATCCCGGTATGTTTGTGTGTTTGAAGAATTTTCACTTCAGTAGCTGTTGTGTAATATAATTACACGTTGTATTTTTTTCTCACATCTCAGAATGTTCGACTGTCCTATCGTGTATATGTTACCAGAAATGTATAACATCTAGGAGTTGTATACAGTTCCTAGGAAGAGTATACCATTCCGAGGCTATTTTGGAAATGTATAAAATGTTGTTTCAAATATTTTTTAATGCACACATATCCTGGGAAATGTATACATTTCATCTCCATCTCCAACAAGCAGCCTGCCGTATTATTGCCTATTTTATGTCATAGGCCGCCAAATATTGTTTTTCAACGTTCGATAATTATGCTTCTTTATCATTTCCGCGCCCAACATCTATATCAAAGTGATCAGTATATCCACATTTACAACATATTAAAAATTCATATACATTGGTGACACTACGCTCCTGGATTGGAAATGTTAATTAATAATAATTCAATCAACAAATGCGAAAGTGATAACATCAGGAGAAATTAAATAATTTTCAGATAAAGCACCTGATGATGTATACCTGACTATGTAAGTTGAACATAGGTATATTCACAATAAAATTTGTTATCAATAAGCAGTTTCATCTATGATAATATTGTAATACCTATACATTAGGGTGCTTCAAACAAAATTTTTAATTTTAACTCTTACCCTCTCAAATGTTTCTAATCCTCGCCAAACATGAGCCCTATAGCTCAAATCTAAGGGGTCGCTATTTTTATTTTAGTTTCCCATTTAATTAACGTAGGAAAAAATCTTTTTTGTTTTAAATTGAATTTTCACATAAATTACGAATTTTTATCCAAAAAACCGTTTCATATTCTCAAAGTTGAGTTTTTGAGCTTTACTAAACTCTAAGACAAAGTATGATTATCTTTACAAAAAGACTAGTTACAGTCATTTAAAAATTACTAAATTTTGAAATTTGAAAAATACCTTGCATTTTTTTTTTTTTGCATAATCCTCAAAATTTTTACTCAAACTATTAGTAAGTATTGTATTTTTATGTATTATTACTATCCAATAGAAGCATCGAAAAGTCCATGGACTTCTCCTATCGTTCTGGTACGTAAGAAGGATGGATCAATGAGAGTTTGCGTTGATTATCGACGATTAAATTAAGTGACGTATAAGGACAGTACATCCCGAAGATAAGTAAAAGAGTTTACTACGGGAAAAAGGCTTTGGCAGTTTAACGTAGAAGTGTGCGTTATTTAGAACTGAAGTGACCTAGGTCACGTCATATCAACTGAAGAAGTTAGTACAGATCCTGACAAGACTGTGGCGGTTCGCAACTGGCCGGAATCAACAAATTAGCATGAACTGAGGAGTTTTTTGGAAAATGTTCGAACTTCAGAAGATTCATGAAGGGGTTTGCGGATGTGACCCGCCCCTTGCACAGACTTACTGAGAATGGGGTGCCATTTGTTTGGACGAACACCTGTCAAGAGGCTTTCCAAGCCCTGAAAAATAATTTGTCAAACACTTCGATTTTGAATTATCCCGAATTTGGAAAACCATTCGTAGTCGATACGGATGCGAACAATGTAGCTATTGGAGGACTCCTTTCCCAATTTAAGGACGGTAAAGAAAGAGTAATCAGGGATTTTAGCAAGACGCTGTCAAAGCCCGAGATGAATTATTGTGTGACTCGACGAGAATGACTGGCCGACGTAAAGACGATAGAACACTTTATATATATATATATATATTATTCTCTTAAATGGTTACTGCGGTTTCGAAATCTTGAAGGACAAATGGTCAACTGGTTACAGCGTTTACAGGAGTACAATTTCAGAATTGAACATCGGCCAGAAAAACACCATAGAAATGCCGACGCCCTATCAAAACAACCATGCCCACAAAATTGCAAATATTGTTTCTGTGGAAAGACAAAAAGGGTTAGAATAAGTTCCATGCCTATACACCGCCATAGAGAGGCAAGACAATTGGGAAGACACCATGTTTATTGAGAAACAGTGAACCGATGACTATTTAGCACCCATCATGAAATGGAAAGACAGAGAAGAATCTCGGCCAACTTGGGCGGACGTAAGTCCCCAGGCACTACGACGAAATGTTATTGGGTTCAATTGGATTCCCTGAAACTGGATAATGGAGTTCTTAAAAGAATTTGGGAGAGTCCGGGCGAGACCAAGAAATAACTCCAGGTTATGTTACCCAAGAAGAAGACAAAAGAAGTGATGGAAGGGCTGCAAGCTCGTACTGAAAGTTGACACTCTCAGGCGAAGAAGACCTTAGAAAAACTGCGTGAGAGGTATTACTGGGTGAATGTTAGTACGCTAGAAAGCGTCAGTACAATGTCGGGATACCCTTCGAAAAAATAGCCATGGATATCAATTATCACTTTCCACGAACTAACAGTGACAACCCTTACATCCTCGTTGTGATGGATTACTTCAGCAAATGGCCAGAAGCCTATGTAATTCCCAAAGTGGATACCACCACCGTAGCGGAGGCAATAATAAATAACTGGATCAGCCAAAATGGAGTTCCTATAGAAATTCACACAGATCAGGGCCGAAATTTTGAACCGAAGATATTCCAACGAGTGTGTGAATTAATGGGAATAAGGAAAACTAGAACAACTCCGTTGCATCCTCGGTCTAATGGGATGGTCAAACAATTCGAGGATGTTTGTGAACGATCGTCAGACCGACTGAGATCACCACATTCCCTTATTCTTTTTGGCCTACAGGGCATCTATAGACGAGACTACCTGACAGGCCACTTCTTGTGTACTATACGGGAATGAACCAAGGCTACCTACTGATCTGATGTTTATGCGATCTGAAGACTCTCCGTTGTCCACGGACGATTACATATCTCGACTACGGTAGTGGCTAAACACCATCCACAAAGCCGTCAGAACAATAATAAAATTAGGAAGTGACCGAATGAAGATCCGCTACGATCATCGAGCGAATTTCTCTGGATTCAAGGAGGGCGATCGTGTATGACTTTTTCACCCAGTTCGCAAGAAAGGAAGGTGCCCCAAATTACAACGGAATTGAGAAGGTCCACACGAAGTAGTTAGACGTATAAACGACGTCATGTACAAAATACAACGAACTAGTTGCCAGTGTAACAGACAAAAGTGAATGAGAAATCATTGAAACAACAAAAACACCACGGAAATTTGGACCCAAATGATGATAATGAAGAAGTAAATGAAGAAAACTTACTACTGAATGGAAATAATAGTGAGGAAAATAAGAATGTGTTTCAGTCAAAGCAGATAATTCCGAGGCAAATAATGAACCTCACAAACAGATACCAACAATAAACACCAACCTACCACAGTACAAACAGAGACCATTACATCAACATTAGAACAATTTCCAAGAGAAATAATAAAGATACACATATCTGGAAAAAAGGAAAAAATCGAAAGCATTATTTTACGGCAAATAAAAACAGAAAAGGCATGTTGGTAATATCATTCGAGAATTAGATGGTTTCGTTTTGTTGCTACTATTATAAGTTAGTGATTGTTAATTTTTTAAATCATTTTCTTGTTTATTACAAAATTAATTTTTAAAAACCTATGCTTGTCAATAATTTTCCTTGTTATTTTTATTCTTATAAACAATTAATTCTTCAATTTTCAGTTTAATGTAGGTATATATCTAAATAAATTTACCAAAAAATTCTTTTGTCTTTTTTGTCTTAATTTTTACCACCATCATTTATTGTAGAATTTTTATTCTAATACATTAGTTTCAATAATTTTTCATTATATCTTGTGTGTCTCGCCTTCGGTTTGGGAGGCAATTCACACGTGCTCTGTAATAGCCCACTTCCTTCCCTTGGTACGTAATATACTATTTAGCCGGGAGATATGCCGACTATGTATCTACTTATTTAAAAACTAGGAATATATAAGTACATTCAATGTTTTGTGATAAATACACACTCGTTAATTTAACATCTACTTTTTTTTGAAATTTATGTAAAGCCTTGATACTTGATTTCTTTATTTAAACCTTTAATTCAGGGTAAATAAATATTAAATTGGAATTAAATTCTTTTGTAGTCTATAAATTCCTTATCTCTAGATTCATGAATAACAATAAAGAAACCTAAACAGATTTTCAAAAATATATACCTACCAATGTTTACAAAGGGTAGGGGGTTAGGGGGGTGGTAAGAAACTTTACTGACTTTCGCTGACAGAAAGAAGTGTTAAAAATTACTAAAATTCTACTTACGTAATACTTGAATGGCCTCAAAGTAAATCTTGATTAGGAAGAATATAGCACGGGTATACTATATATCTTGATTTAATACTTCTAAATTAATATTACATATTTACCAATTTTTTGTTAGCCGCAAGAGGACCGCCTGAATCTCCAGCACAAAGCCCTTTTTTGCCTGCTCCTGAAGAACAAATGACTGAATCTCTAACGTCCTTGTACGTTACACTACACGCAGCTTTTGTGAGAATGGTAACATTTATATATCGCAATGCTTCAGTGACATCGGAAGCAGAAGTAGAAGTATATCCCCAACCACTTGCTATTGCCGCAGATCCCGCGAAACTATTCGAAACGTCAGCCCTACTGGGAAGTGCAATCACTTGAACATAGCCTGTAAAGATTAATTTATGTTTGGTAAACAAGTCAACATAAACCATTCAAGTTATAGGTAGATACGTTTATAAAGAGCAAAAAATATTCAAAAAATTAAATTATTGAAGCAACTCCTTTACGATGGCTTCAACTCAAATTCGTTAACTTCTCCCATACTACCTATGAAACAAACAGGCATTATAAAGCTACAAGTCTGAATAAAGTCGACGCCCGCCCATTGTTTAAACTTTTAGTTTGTTATAAGTGTGGCTTTTTTTTATGCAATTAATATTTAAGATAAAGTAAGTTATCAATAGAGGTAGTTACGGTTTATTTCTGCTGGTGTTTCAAGATAGACGACGCCTACATCATTCTCTAGGGTTTGGTTATTAAATCGTTCATGTACTTTAAACGTAGATGTTGGAATGCTTTGCTGAGTAGCTTCATTTTCACGAAACTTATGTGCACCCAGAATTACTTCTAGCGACACAAGACTGATAAAAAAAAAGTAAAATGTAATAAATTGTGACGATAAATTTAAGAGCAAATTGCCTTACTTATCTACCAAACAATGTGCAGCTGTTAGCACGTATCTCTTGGTGATAAGAGATCCTCCACAGAAATTCGTTGATCCATCATCATAAAATAGTCTCAAGGCAGCCTATAATAATAAAAACAGTATTTTCAGCAGGCGCGGCGAAATTGTATACTTCGTGAGCGTTGACTTCCCCTACCGCAAAATTTATAATCGTAATATGTGATCAAACAAAGGCATTATTTGGTAAATACATTTGAAATTAAAAAAGAAATTAATCAAAGAAAAAAGCAATAGCATGCAGGCGAGCTGAGGCCTCGGCGCCGCGTGCGTTCTAGCCAGGGTATATTTCTCTTGAATCCAGTATTTCAATTCAACGCGCTTACTTACTAATTCGACAATTAGTTTCTTAAGGATGAGTAAAAAAAGATTACTTATTTTCTTATTNTTTATAAAAATTTTTTAGTAAAAATAAAAAGAAATACAACGTGTAATTACACGACACGCTGCTGAAGTGAAACTTCTTCAAACACACAAACATGGCGGGATATAGGGTTAAGGAATTGGTTTAATGGTATTATTTGTACACTTTGCTTCGCACGGGTGCAATGCTGATAGTAAATATACTATAGAATGTCTTTATATACAACAATCACAGCTATTTTGTCATTAGACAATACAAACGGGCCAGTACCGCCGCAACCGGTATGTCCCTGCATTTTAAGTCTGTAATATCTTCGAAAATATTCATTTAAATCATGCTGTAGAGGACCATATTGATCTATATTAAAAGTACTTAATTGGTTAAGGATTAATATTGTATTGCTTAAAATCGCTTCGTAAATAAACCATTAATTCTCGTAAAAAGTAAAGGATAAAAAATGGTTATTGTGGGTTGGTTATCCCTAAAAGATAGACATATACCATCGCTGACTTTTTAAGGTATACAATATTGTAGTATATTATTTTGATCTATCTCGTAGTGTTCAGCCAGCGTTTACAATGTAAGCGCAAAAAAAATGTGTTTATTTACGACATCACATTACAAACCTCTAAAATTATCAGTGTTTCTCTACTATATTATGCATGTATTATACATAAAAACCTTCCTCTTGAATTACTCTATCTATTAAAAAAAACCGCATCAAAATCCGTTGCGTAGTTTTAAAGATCTAAGCATACATAGGGACAGACAGCGGAGGAAATGCGTTGCATGATTTCGTTACATAGCAACTCGCATGAAACGAACTTACTCTACCGTGCGTAAAGAAGTTTCACTTCAAAAATAAGTTCTCTATTAATCTTTTAATTTGTTATAAATAAGCTACGCATTCATATAAGTATATGTCCGATTTTCGGAAGAACCATTTAATGACATTGGTGGCATAGTGTCTGAGATTCATCATGTAGTACAGAGTTGCATCACAGTAATTGGATTATTTCGCCTGTTTATTGAAATACCCGATATGCGGAAATGAACCCGACCGTTGGGTGCAGCGTGTAACTTATACCCGTCGCACGCGGCATTGCATTTCTAAACACATCATTGGTACAGGTCTGACGAAGGAAGCTGTCTAGCGGTCGCGCAGGTACTTGCCCATTTATGATCTATTTGGGTAAGTCACTTGGAACCGATACACAAATAAGCTTTCAGTAGGCGTATATTATAGTATTAATACAAATAGGACAGTAGCGTACTAGAAAATAATGTAGAAACATAACTTACCAAAAAGAAAAAGTAAACCTATTGCTTTTGTTTTATAGTTAGTTTTCACATTCACTAACATCAACAATTAGTTCTTCTGTTTGTATTAGAACAAACAGAATAGCTCAAAACCCCAACGCCAAAACACGACACTGTAGTTGTCCGAAGCACTTTTCGTTCAATCGTTCAATCGTTCAATCAAAACCAGATTTAAAGAACATCTAGCTCATGCTAGGTTTGGTAGAGAAGAAAAATGTAGTGTTGCCCAACATATTCTTACTGATGGACATAATATTAATATTAATAACCTTAAGTTAGTTAAAGAAGTTAGGAATAATCGTTTACTAAACAGTTTTGAAAGTTTATACATTTATAAAAATAAACAAATTGTTCTTAACAATGACAACGGTCCCATCCCTGGATCTCCGCTATTTAGTTTAGTTTAATTACGTTTATGATGATGATGTTAAGGTCCATTGAACATCTACCTTGTTGGCTTCGGGTCATGTTCACTGAACCTTAACAACTATCAGTATAAATTAGGATTAGTTCTCATTTAGGTTTAGTTTACTTCAGTCCCTGAAGAAGGTAACTTTGTTACCGAAAAGTGCTTCGGACAACTACAGTGTCGTGTTTTGGCGTTGGGGTTTTGAGCTATTCTGTTTGTTCTACAACAACCGCCAAAGTTTTTCCAATCTTCATATTTCGTCATGGCTTCCCGGTCATCGGATTTAAACAGGTATCACAAACTTAGTTGTAAGATTAGATTAATTGGTGCAGATATCCAATTCTTAAAAACCTGTAAACGTAACTCTCTTTTCCCAGAGTTTATGAATATTAAAGTTTCAAAGAACTGTAAAGTTATTGAAAAAATAACCACTTTTGCTAAGCGTAAGTGGCTAGATTTAGAATTGGATTTCTTGTACTCAAAACGTAGTCTACTTGAAATAGAGGCGTATAATTTATTTAAATCTTTAACTTATAATTTAAGTGAAAAAGAATTCAAAAAATGGAGCGATTTTCAAAGGAAGATGTTTTTATCTATAGATTGTAAATTTCATAAAAAGGTGAACATTCATAAAAAGAAGTTACGTAAGTTAGGTATATTCTCCAAACCACTTCCTAAGAAGGTCGAACACATTGTAGAGAATCTGTCATCTCAAGTTTTTGATAATGCCGAAATTAGTTTACTCAATAAAGGATTAAAGTTTGCCTTGCCTTCTCCTGCTACAGCCTTAGAAAATGTTATAGGACATGTTGAAAGTTCAATTCAACATCTTGATGACAATTCCAAAGGCTATATCAGAGAGGCTTGCAAACTAAAATTGAAAACCAGCTTAAAATCTCAGAGTTCCCATATTAAAAATGCTAATATGAAAGTTATCAAAAAATTGAGAGATAAGGATTGTTTTTACGTAAAAGCTGACAAAGGTAATAAAGTTGTGATTTTGGATAAAAAAGACTATTACGATCGGGTTGATGACCTTATTAACAACGGACCTTATTCAAAATTAAATAAAAATCCTTTACCTAGTATGGTTGCTGGGTTTACTAAAACCGTAAAACAATGTCACAACATTATTACTCCTACATTAAAACGAAATTTACTTGTATCATGTCCAACAGTTCCCCGTTTGTACTGTTTGCCCAAGATACATAAACCAGGTAAGTCGATGCGACCAATTGTCTCTGCAATTGGTGCACCAACTTATAAATTAGCCAAGTGGTTGACAAATGAATTCAACAACCTCCCTATTAAACCACCTAGTTTTTCAGTTAAAAATTCTATTGAATTCATAAACAAAGTCAAAGACGTAAAACTAAAAGACAGTGAGGTTATGGTTTCATTTGATGTTTGCTCCCTTTTTCCAAGTGTACCTGTTCCGCTTACTTTGACGTATTTAGAGGATTTACTTAAAGAAAATGGTTTCTCCGCCGACATTGTAGCTGAGTACATAACTCTGGCTTCAATGTGCATGCGGCAAAATTATTTTCAGATAAATGGTTGCTTCTACGAACAGAAAGAAGGAACAGCTATGGGGAATTCTTTATCACCCTTTATAGCCGACCTTTTTATGAGTCGTTTTGAAAGTGACCTTAGCCACCTTGAGTTTTTTCCTCGAATATGGCTTAGATACGTGGACGACATTTTTGCTATCTTCGATTTAAGTTCCAGAAGTCTTCAAGACTTTCTTGATGTTTTAAATTCACGTTTCCCTTCGGTTAAATTTACAGTAGAAATGGAAAAAGATGGCAAATTACCATTTTTAGATACGTTGGTTATAAGAAATGGGAATTCTTTAGAATTCGACATCTACAGAAAACCCACTAATACCTCTAGATATATACCCAACGACTCTAATCATTGTGTTCAACATAAAATGGCTAGTTTTAACTTCCTTGTACACAGATTACTTAGCTTCCCTCTTAGTAAAAATAGATATAATAAGGAACTCTGTACAATTAAGAAAATTGCAAAAGACAATGGTTACAATTGTAACATTATTGATAAATTAATTAATAAGATAAAATTTAGGAATTTTATTTCAAGATCTACGACTTTTCAAACAGATGCTAATAAAACCAAGTTTATTACTATGCCATACGAGCCAAGATTTACTCGCGGACTCGAGGGTATTTTTCGAAAACTTGGTTTACGGATTGCTTACAGTTCAAATGGCAACTCCATTCAAACTCTCCTTGGTAACCCTAAGGATAAAATTCCATTCTTAGAAAAGTCGGGGATATATGAAATTAGTTGTAATGACTGTAGTAAAAAATATATTGGACAAACTAGACGTTCAATCAAAACCAGATTTAAAGAACATCTAGCTCATGCTAGGTTTGGTAGAGAAGAAAAATCTAGTGTTGCCCAACATATTCTTACTGATGGACATAATATTAATATTAATAACCTTAAGTTAGTTAAAGAAGTTAGGAATAATCGTTTACTAAACAGTTTTGAAAGTTTATACATTTATAAAAATAAACAAATTGTTCTTAACAATGACAACGGTCCCATCCCTGGATCTCCGCTATTTAGTTTAGTTTAATTACGTTTATGATGATGATGTTAAGGTCCATTGAACATCTACCTTGTTGGCTTCGGGTCATGTTCACTGAACCTTAACAACTATCAGTATAAATTAGGATTAGTTCTCATTTAGGTTTAGTTTCTTCAGTCCCTGAAGAAGGTAACTTTGTTACCGAAAAGTGCTTCGGACAACTACAGTGTCGTGTTTTGGCGTTGGGGTTTTGAGCTATTCTGTTTGTTCTACAACAACCGCCAAAGTTTTTCCAATCTTCATATTCTGTTTGTATGTCTATTACTTGCTCACTGATCCCTATTTTTAAATATTTAATCTACGCCCTTGATAGGAATACTGAAGAAAGACGTTATACGTTATACCTAAAATTGCCTACTTTTGCCACCGCGCATCCACGCCATTTTAAAAATTCCGCCAGCTTCCAGCGTCAGGCCTGTACAGCAGTTCCTTTATACCGTAACCTCGTGATCTGAACAAATCTTCGGCATGGAGCGTGTGCCAGTCAAATATTGCTACCACTCAGATACCGCCATTAGTTCAAAAGTGTGACAACTATACGTCTTGTACGTTTATCAAACTCGGTAACAGTTTATCTGACATCCGACATTCAACTTTGTGTAATGTAAAGAAAAATATCGTCCACCGAAAGACGAAAATAATTTTATAATGTTATATACACCCAAAATGTTTGTTCAAACGTCAAGTGTTCCAAATATTTAAATGCTTACTTGGTAAGGTATGGAGTTTGGTACAGCTTCACTTCCTCCCACGATCCTTGTATCTTCAGAAGATTCAAGCTGATTGTATCCTCTGTGAACTGTTTCGCGTGAAGGTAAAATTTTAGACCAATCCCTAGTTACGTGAGCCTGTCAAGAAGACAAAGAATAAAGTCAGAATTAATTTAGACTTCAAAATTTATAGCACTATGTTACCGTAACTAAGGATAATGTGATGAAGATTAGCACAACTTCCTTCATTTCTGCTTTTAACATAGATAATGTACAGAGTTTAATTGAAACTCATCTTATAAAGTTATCTTCAAAGTACTTCTGTTGATAAAGTTCGTGTGACGTTTTTTGTTCAAGCTGCATGGATATGATAAACGATACATTCTCATATCTTTTACAGATATTCCAATATTAATGTTGCTAAAAAAAGTTAAGATGATATACTAAGAAACTTACTAATATAAGTCAACAAGAAGGATTCATCCTAAACTATTTAAAAAGCACAACGTTCAGTTCAATTATGGTAGGTGTGTTGAAGGAAGAGAGATCTCTGTCTCAAACATCACTTTCGGCTGTTAAACCATTATCAAAGAGAATACATTTTCACTCATTTTCTTCGATAATAATTTAACATCCGAAACAATTGTTAGAGTGTTCTAAATAAACTGTAAAACAAAAGTGTACCAAGTGTTTTATTTCTTATATCTTGTTAAATATGTTTCACCAAGTGCCTAGCCAAGAATCAATTTCTTACATATATATATAAACAATTCAATAAATAAAAAGCCAATGAATAGAGGCTTGTAAAGGCTTTTGCAGTCATTTGGTGAATTGATGGTGTCTTGATTCGGGTCTAATGGTCGTCATCGGTTGGAACTGCTTCCTTCACTCTAAATATAGAACAACCCTCATCCTTAATTATTTGCGAACAGCAACCTAATCTAGGTCTACCTCTACCCTCCTAACTCCCGTTTCTGCCTCTCATATGTTTCTGACTAGACCTTCATGCCTGAAGAACCGTGATCAAAAATTAGGGCTTACAATACCGGGATTCTGGGATCCTGAATACCGGAATCCCGGACGATTTTTGTTCGTTATTAAAAACCGGTATTTATGTAAAAATACCAGTATCTGCGAACAGTAATCTAATCTAGGTCTACCTCTACCCCTCCTAACTCCTGTTTCTGCCTCTAATATGTCTCTGACTAGACCTTCATGCCTGAGANAAAAGCCAATGAATAGAGGCTTGTAAAGGCTTTTGCAGTCATTTGGTGAATTGATGGTGTCTTGATTCGGGTCTAATGGTCGTCATCGGTTGGAACTGCTTCCTTCACTCTAAATATAGAACAACCCTCATCCTTAATTATTTGCGAACAGCAATCTAATGTAGGTCTACCTCTACCCTCCTAACTCCCGTTTCTGCCTTTCATATGTCTCTGACTAGACCTTCATGCCTGAAGGACCATGATCAAAAATTAGGGCTTACAATACCGGGATTCCGGGATCCCGAATACCGGAATCCCGGACGATTTTTGTCCGTTATTAAAAACCGGTATTTTGGTATTACATTAGTTGAGGTGACATTCTATAGTACCATCCTTGGATAGCTTGTAGCTATAGTTTCAGCCCGATCTCCTTGCTAGTGTAGGTTTGACAGCACGCTGAACAAGACGCCTCTGTGGTTTTCGTAAAAATGGAAAAGNAAGAAATTTTTTTTGAAGATAAACAAACAATTTCATTGTATTAAAATCTATATCAGGCACATTTATTACACATACCGAGCCGAGTATGGCACCATCGAGAAAATTAACAGTAGATGCATTATGCCGAAAAGATGCAAATCTTTTGACGGCTGACGCTTCTTTAACATTTATGTTAGATACTCTTTCCCAGAAAAAATCTGCAATTGCATTAGAATTATTGGAAGCATTAGAATCTCGAATTTTACTGCGACGAACTGAATTATCACAAATACATCACTATCTACAAAAGGGGTCACAAGATGTTGGAGAAGTATTTAAACGCATATTCAAATTTACAATCATTAAAAAAATTGTAAGCTTAACAAAACGGCTCACACATGATAATCTAGAAGATACAGAAGATATGGAAGTTGTGCAAGAAACATCCCTTCCAATATCTTCCCAGATTAATAATCAAACAGTATTAGAATCTGGCAAGGTAAACGTAAACGCATTAAAGAAAAAACTACAGACAGCAATAGATGAAACACTAAATATTTCACCCGTGTCTGCGTTTAAAAAAAATCCAGGTCTGGAACAAAAAATAAAAGATGAAATTACTTAGTTACTTACTTTACAAAATGTGTATGATTTCTTAATGACAATAGTGCCGACAAGTGTAGAATCAGAAATAGCTTTTTCGGCGGCTGGTTATATTTGTACGAAAATTCGGTCCTCGCTTGATGATGAAACGATTGATTGTTTATGTTTTTTAAGGGCATACTTTAATAAACAAAACGCAAGTTATTA